AACAAGCTACAACAGCAACACCGGCGCCAACAACAGTAAAAACGGATACCGCTCAACAGCGGCATCTTGACACCTTGCACCATTCATGCGCAAACAGCAGCAGCAGCAGCAGCAGCATCTCCACCACTACCACCACCAACATCATCAATAACGTCAGTTTTAGCAGCAGCAGCAGCAGCAACAACAACAACCACCACACCAACCACATACCATCGACCAAGTGACCCGACTGACCTTCCACCCCGCCGTCGTCGGGAACACCAGAACCACCGCCGGGGCCGCGATCTTATCCCCGGGCTTAACGATCCTCCCCTTGGGGTTGATGACGCTCAGGTCCCGCGGTATGAAGGGGTTGGGCCCCGGGAGCTTCAGCGCCGGGATCGCAGGGGGGGAGCACCACTCTTTCTCGTACGACGCTAGGCTTTCCACCTGCAGCACGGAGAGAGCAGGAGCGGGGGGGGATCAGGTGCGATGCTTAAGGGGTGCGCGAGCGGAGGATGATGTAAAGGGGTGTTGCTTCTTGCAGGGCTCAGGGCCAACACGCAGCACCCTTCCGAAAACGGTTCGCGTACCAGCGCTCCAAAGTTTGCGTGACTCGATGGCTTCACAGCAGACCCGAAGGTACGGTAATCGTGTCTGGTAGAGCGCGTCGTCCGACCATTTCTGCCGGTTGTCGGCCTTCTACTACGTCAACAGCCAGAGAAAACAACCAAACGTACGTATCACAGAGGGTTTACCAATCAAAGATGAACAGGTAAATCTAGGCTAAGCAACAGCGACACGATTTTACAAACACACGCCGAGAACGATTGCAACATTTGGTGGAGTAATAACGAACGCAGCGAAGGACGACAACGGCGCGATGCCGCAAGGATCCGTTCATGTCAACCCAACGGTCGCACCAACAAGGGTCTTATCAGACGTCTATCAGTCCAACGGCCAAACAACAAACGTCTGCAACAAGCACAGTAACAACATCAACGACAAGCAAGAAACAACAACAATAACAGTAGCAGCAGCAGAGCAAGCGACAACAACAACATCATCAACAACAACAACAGGAGTGAGTAACAACAAAACAAGACTACTGTAGGACTTGCCTGGTATGGAGTACCGTACCACTTCTCGTTCTTGTCGGCCTTGCCCTCGAACTCCTTCGCCGTCGAGAACACCAGCGGCGTCGCAGAGGAGTACTCCACGGGGTCGGGCCGCAGCACGTCCAGGAGGCGGTACACCAGGCTCTCGTTGTACGAGGTTAGCCGGGACGGGCCGCTGCGGGCAAAGATTGACCAATGGTTGCCGTTGTTTTGGTTCATGTTGTTGTTGTTGTGGTGGTGGTGGTGATTGTTGTTGGTGTTGCTATTGCAGTTGGTGCCGAGCTTCAGGTTCAACGAGGAGTGGGGGAGAAACATCCCCAAGGGGTTGTCGTCACTCGTTCACACGGGTGGGGGGGGGGGGGGGGGGGGGGGGG